AGCGACAGGTGGACGGGGAGAACAGCGGGACGTGGGCGCACAGCGAGCTCCGGGCAGCCTCGGACACAGCAACCGGGAAATGAGCGCAGAGCTGAGATGACAACCGAGTAGCGGAAAGGGGAAGGCACGAAGACGGCAAAGGCATGAGATGGGGACGCACTGGTTTCTATTGTCTCCCTTTCTTGCTCCTCAAATAACTCACCAAGAAAATCACAGTGAGAAGACGAGGGAGGGAAAGGAAAAGAAATGAGAGGGTGTCCAGGAGCAGCCAGTGTCGCCTCGGGATCGAGCCCCGCACCTATGGCGCTCGCCCCAGCTCGCCGCCCACTGCCCAGGCCGGAACCCACGCTAGGCCCGCCCCATCCACAGGCTGCGGCCTTTGCGCCTGCGCCGCTGCGGGCTGGTGCGGGCTGGTGCGGACCTTCGCGGCCGCGAGCCACACCCACGCCCCTAGCAGCCCCGCAACGGGCACGTAACCCTAGTCCGGAGCTCCACCTGCTCGGCTCCTCGGGCTCCTCCCCTCCTTCGTCCGGCTCTTGACGATTTTCGTGCGTCAGCTCGCCCCGCCCCCGCCAGGATTGGGGCCTGCGCACAAGAGCCTTAGTGTGTAACGCGTGCGCGCACGCTGCGCTTCTCTTGTGTTCGTAGTAGTTTTTCTTTCTCTTCAAATATACAGAGAGAGAAAACAGCAGCATTTTTACGCGGACCCCATTTTTCACCCCATTACTCCCAAAGGCACATGTAAACAGCGGTCTCCCTATTGAACTTTTCAGGCGGAAGATGGAGCTGCAGGGAAGAGAGGACACCTAGTTTGCGGGGTTGCTGGCCACTTCCCCGTCGCCGAGTAACTGTTTCCACGGCAACCGCGCCGTCAACAACGCTAAGCAACCCGGAGAGGAATCTTCCCAAGAGAGGACCGCTAAGAAGAGGTCAAAGGGGACTTATGTGAAAGAAAAATCTTAGTTCCTTGAGAACGCAAGAAAGTAGGGAAGGAACGGGGAAGCAGTGAAGAAAGAGACGGAGATATTGGTATGGTGAGAAAAAGTTGAGTATTTTGAGGAGTCATTTGATGGCCATGGATCCAACAGGCTTTTCTGAGAGCATTTATAATCTCATACCCAGGGACTGGAAGGAGCCTCCCCAGCATCCTAGGTATGTGGGTAAGCCAAATTATCGCTTGAAACAAGAATGGGGAATAACTGTTCCATTTCAGGATTAACTAAGGATCATATGACTTTTAAAAAGAAATAAAAAATACTTTTGTTTCGATCAAGTAGCCTTGGATGGAAACTTCTTAAAGGAGAGGTTGCAAAATCTAGGTGTTTAGCATCTCACAATTCACAGGGCGATCCAGTGCTGTGAGAGGGCCATTTTTTGTTGGTCTCCTGTAATCCGTATGTAATTGATTATAATTTATCTAATTGTTCGTACATAATGTTGTTGTTATACAACATAGCGTAAAATTTCTTGTTGCAAACAGAAAATCACAATTTTATTATCTGTGTTAGGATACTTGATATTTGGTTTCAAGTGTTCATTGTTTTACTTCTGAGTATACTATTCCCTTTCTGAAAGGATAATACTTACCCCCCCCCCAAGATTATTGTCAAATATAAATGTGTTTGTTTCTGAGCCTCAGTTTTTTGATCAGTGAAACAAAATAGACTAGATAGTTTCTTGTTCAGGTCTAATAGTTGGATGGAAGGAAGAGTGGATGGATAGAGAACCAAAAATATGTCATTGAGTTAAAATTTTTAAATAGGTGTTAGGACCTCCTAAATTTACCAAATTTCAAAGTCACCACAAAATAAACATTCCAGTTACCCTGCTTTATAGGGACTTAGAACTTATTTAAATCTATGGGGAGAAAAGAAGGTAACTAGTGGAGAAGGTCTCATTTCTCCTAGGACTTTGCTGTCTTTTACCTTTCTCCTTTTTCCTGATTCATGTTAAAATCACATTGAAAAGAGCACTGGGCAACAAAACAAAACAAAAACAGGCACTGCAACTAATAGGTTTTGGGAACATGAATAAATTTTCATTTGTTTTCTGATCTATAAAACAAATTAAATGAACTAGATAATCATTAAAGCCCCTTTCAGATCTAATGATCAATTATTGTTACTAATAATTACTGGGGGTGCAGAACATCTTCAACAAGTGAGCAAATCCTTCCATTTCAAGCCTGAGTATATTTGTTTTAACCAGAGCAGTAGATACATTGTTTTACATTAGCTTCTAAATCTAGTAGAAATTGGAAAGGAAAATGCAAAGTAAGATATGATACAGTTATAGATTTTATGAGGCGTGTTCAAATTAACTATTGCTGAATGGATTTTAGTCCAAAATTCCTGTATCTTGTAGAATATAAAGCTCTTCCTCTTTGTAACCCTGTAGAGTATTTTCTGTAGATTGTATTTTCTGTAGAGTACTGAACTTGAATGGTAAGATATTTTATTAAATAGGTGTTCTGTTCACTGGTCAATTAAAAAAGCTTTACTATGCATCTAGGTGATTTGACAAGCGTTAACTGAACTCGTATTATGTGTATAATATTGCCCTTGGGGAATATTCTTGGGGAATGTTGGAGTGACAGCACAAACTCCTTGGGATACTCTGAAGTAATGAGTAGGAAAAAGAAATTTATGGTGAACGGAATAGAAGGCATCCACATGTGGTGCCACAGAACTCTCTGTTAGGGTAATGTCAGCCTACCCCATCAGCAACAAGCATGAGGTGTTTTTAATTTGACAAGATTAAAAAGTTCGCATGTCATCCATGCAAATCACTACTTTGTAAAAACAGAGCATAATAAAACATTTAACCAATTCTTTCTCACCACACTAATGTAAACTTGCCCTGACCCAGTCTCCTTATTAATAATAGTTAGAATTAATTATAAGAAATGTATTGAGCTATGAGGCTTATTTGCATCACCGAGTTATAAACTCAGCTTCAAGAAAGCTCACTGCAGCTCTTTGCAAGACTGGCAAGGTGATTGCCCAGCTTTCATAAAGAGATGGATTCTTTGGGGAAATCAACAATTGACTGCACTGTGATCTCCCATACCTCAGAGGTTATAGTATCCTTGGGGAACTGAAACAAATATTAAATCATTGATTTACAATAAAACCATATATTATTGAAAACCCTAGTGAGAAATGCAGATACTAAATGAGATAAGTATATGTAACCAAATAGATACATGTAAGCAAAGTGGAGTGATGAGCAACCTTTTGCAATTGAACTATGATCTGGGTCTTAAGATATAAGTCAATGGGAAGCCATGAATCAGTTTTCAAATTTTCAGTTATTCATGATACATGAGATGATTTCCAAGGTCTTCATCAAATTTGTCACCCTTCTATTGATGGCGCCACTTATTAATATCTCCAATCATTCTCTCTTTCCCTTTTGTTTAAGGCAATGTTCCAGATATGTTCTGAACAGCCCATAGAACCATTAACTTCTTGATACACAATACTTTTATTGATGCATTATGAGCATTTTGACAGTCATGTCCAACCATTGTACCACATTGAAATTCCCACATAAATTATGATTAAGTTTGGTCCCTCCCATTTTATAATTGTGTAGCTCATCATTAATCTATGGAGATAATTTTGAATTTTGAATTTTTCATACACTCTCTTAACCATCCCAGCTGTGTGCCATTTGCAAATCTAATAAGTATGTCGTTTATATCTCCATCCATCATTGAACAAGGCAAATACTTTGCACTTTGGTACGCTACTAGACACTTCTTTCTAGGCTGACAGCAATAATGGTTTTTTGGGTTCAATCAGTCATCCAAATACGTTCATTAATCAGTTCATATTTCTCTACCTTATCAGTAAGAATTTAATAAGAGGCTTTACTAACACCAAGGTACATATTATTATGTCTAAGGTATTTGCCTGATTTATGACTCTAATAATCTTATTTTTTTAAATGATGTTTGTTTTAGTAACCTGAAACTTCAAATGGCTCATGCAATCATTGCTTCTCTGTAAATTTTTAGATGTTCCCCAACACTGACATCAGACTTGCCAATGTGGAGTTTCTGGATGCACGCTTTTTGAAAATGGGAATATTGAATGTTATAAGTACCTAGTAGTTGTTCCTTTTTAAATGCCTTTCTGGTTTTCACTGGGATAATTGTGACATGTAGTCAGCATTTCATTTTCAGAGCTTCTCATTCTTCTTGGACTACCTTCCATTTTATTCAACTTCCTCACTGTTATGTCGATATTTTCTGATAATGTGTGACATCTCCTTGTTTAAAGTCTGGTTATATATCTGACTTTGCTAAGCAATCTTGACTATTATGAAATCTTAGATGACATAGTCATTTTCTCCTGAGCTTCTTATCTACTTTGTTGAATAATCAGAGCCAATAATTCAGTCAGGGAAACCAGTAGTCCTTTTAAATGAACTTGTATTCATAGAAAGTAAAGAGTATTCCAACATCTTTGTTTTTAGAATAATAAAATTTTATGCTAAAATTCCCATTGCTGCAATATATGGTTTTGGACAGTTTTATGATTAGTGTCAGAAGTTATTATTCAGATTTTTCACCTGGCTGTCCAGCCTCTGTTGACTAGCACAATAATAACACTTCTTTTCATCTCTTCTGTTATTTTTACCCAAGTGCACTTCTCTTGCTTATATTACTGATTCTTGACCTAAACCTTATAGTACATATAGAAGATTTTAAATCACCAGGAAAAGCAAGCACACAGCTCTGAAGATGTGCTATAATTAATAGAATTGCTTAAAGAATGTGGAAGAATTGATGGCCTGGGAACCTAGTGATGAAAGGGTTAATTCAAAAAGGTGCTTATTCACTTCAGACATGTGGATGAGGGTAAGGGCGCTCACAAACAGGATTCTTGTCAGCAAAGAGAATTGTAGTTTCTGTGCATTTAGTGACTTAATGTTTGTTCATTGTGGGTTATTGCGTCTCATTCAGATTTCTATAGATTATATATAACGTGGTATATTAGCACATTTTTCTGGCATTTTACATGTACATAAAAACATTGAGAAGAAAACATGCCAAAAATATTTCTTGAAATCAGTTGCCGGGAAAGTTTGTGGATAAGTGAAGTTTTGTGAGTGTTAGACTCATTTTTTAGAAGCTTATTCCATTCCAGAACAAGGTTCAATATTTTAAGCATACTCTGCATACTCATATATATCATAGTATGAGAATCTGTTTATTACAGGTCAGGAAAGTATATCAGTCTACTTATCTATGCCTATCTCTTATAATACAGCATGACTTGACTTTTTAGAGAATAAAAAGTTTCTGCTAGGATAGAGGTAAAATCAAGTAAAGGGTCAAACAGTTTTTTCTTATTTAGGCAAGATGAATATCCAGTAATAATATCAACAATAAGAATATTACTAATAAAAATAATGATAATATGTTCAATGTATTAACATTTACAATTTTCAAGGTACTGGTCTATGTTTTACACAATCATTATTTTATTTAATTCTCACAAAGAACCCTATGAAATGAGTAGTATAACCCCAGTTTTGTGGAAACTCAGGCCCAAAATAGTGAGGTAGCTAGCATGAACAAGAGTTAAGACTGAGATATGTCTGACACTAAAGCATATCATTTTAACCAGTTTGAGTACTGCCTATTTTTTGTTTTTTAAAGATTTTATTGGGGAATTAGGGGAGGGGAACAGTGTTGGGGAATTGGGGAAGGGGAACAGCCAAGTTGTTGTCCTTCAATCTTAGTTGTAGAGGGCGCAGCTAGCTCAGCTCTAAGTCCAGTCGCCATCCGGCTGCCTGTAGGCAGCTCACGGCTGCTCAGCTCAAGGTGCTGTGTTCAATCTTAGTTTGGGGGGGTGGGGCAGGGCACAGCTTAACATCCCATGCTGGAGTCGAACTGGCAACCTTGTTATTGGGAGCAAGTACTCTCATCAGCTGAGCCATTGTGTCACCTGTTGGCGGCTCAGCGGGAGCTCAGCTCAGGGCCCATGTGGGAATCGAACTGGCAGCCCTGTTGCTCAGAGCTCACGCTCTTAACCAACTGAGCCACTCAGCTGGCCCCTGAATACTGCCTTTTAACCTGAGTAAATAATTAAAACAAACCTAACGAGCACCTTTTGCCTCAATAGCATGTGTGTGTGTGTGTGTGTGT